ATGATCTGTTCAGTATGCACATGTTATCTAGTTTTCTTTCCTCTTTTCACCATCAAATATTACCCTCTCAGGTTTTGGTTCATGGATTTGGTTGATTGTCTCGAGCTTCTCGGTTCTCGTGAAAAGTCCACGAACTACTTGTATCGTCATAAATTATTGTACCCATACATATTAGTAAGTTCATCATATACATTGTCAATACAGTTTTCATTTTCTACGTTTACACGAGATCAATATTCACTGTAATTTTGTTGTATTTGAGCCATTGTAATTTTTCTGATTTGTGCAATAATACTAGGGTTGGGCCATTAATTGACATTACAACAACAAACTTCTGATATTAAGGGTGTGCTTGGATATGAATTTTTTAAATTTATATTTAAAATCTAACTCAATTTTAGCTAAATTTATTATTCTCAATATTATCAGTATAATTAGTAATATTAATCAATCATTATTACATCATATCAATTTTAATTTATTATTCACCGCCTCACATAATTTTAATTAAATCACTTCACATCATCTTTTATTTTTATTTTTATATCAGTTCAACTTTAATTATTTTATTTTAAATATTATTTTAACTAATATAAACAAAATTTCGCTAACAATTAATTATGCCACTTTTATTAAAATTAACCCTTATTAACTATAAAAATTTTGATATATATATATATATATATATATATATATATATATATATATATATATAGTCAAACACGCCCTAAAGCTCAAGCTTGAGACTTCATCAGCGATATTTGGGTGTTCATTAACTAAGTTGATAATTGGACATTAATAACTCTGCAACTAAGACAATTATAGCAACGCATGATACAAAATGAAATAATAACGCTAACTAAATTTAAAATTATAGTTATTCATATATTTATGATCAAAACATTAAATTGATGATAAAGATCGGGTAACATCCACAAGGCTACAATTGCTGGAAATAATTTCTATTGGCCCTCGTATAAATGTACGTTATTATGTAGGCTTGAGAAACATCTTTTCATGACAAAGATGATCCATATTGAACTAGTGAATAAAATTCAACAAAAGACCATAAACTTGTAAAACAACTGAAAACATGGAACACTCAACCAAGCATCACGATGAGGCAATAGTTTAACCAAATGACGTGATGACTTATATGATACTTAAGAGTTTGCTAAAATACACTCTTGTAGTACCGCCAATTTCGTTATGTACAGATCCTATCAACTCAAAGCAGATACACATGTCGGTTACAGTTTTCACAACATCTTAACAAGGACATGTCATTTACATTCGAATTCTTCATCCTTCCTCATCATGGGAGGCCTCAGCTGACGACAACTCAGCTGTCCTGAACTCAATGTGAGGTGATTCCTCTGCAATAATACAAAGAAGCACATGAGAAAGAGACCAGGTTAATTGAGCCCAAACATATAATTATAAAGCAACAGGTAAGACAAAAAGCAACTCGAAAGAGTTATGGCTCAAGTCAGATCACAAACTTTTCAACAGGTGCATCAGACAGGGATAACTGTGAAATGTTTGTCTCATCATCCACAAACCATCTCCAAGAAGACTCTAACCCATTATATTATTATTCTCAACCAAGAAAAAATCCAGAGCAACGATTGACCCAAGAAGAACATTACTGGAGTTGTCCTTTATTGTTTAAATACAAGGGTAAAACTCAGGGAGACTTAAGACATCAATCAATTAAATGTAAGATTTAAAAATTTGGAAAAATATCTATAATCAAAAGAGTTGATATATCAAGGCAAGACTTGTTGGAGGATAACTACTCAGGTAAATCAATTATTCAAAAAATAATGTTTATATGCCAAATGCAACTCATACCGGGAAAAGACCATAAGAAGTTCAGTAAGGGATAAATGACCGAGAAACAAAAAGAAGCAGGTAAAACAAAGTGTATATTTCATGTTGAACAGGATAGGAAGGCATTCATGCATGGGTCAGTGCAACGCAACATCCATGTCAGATTACAAACATTCAGCATAAGTTATCAGACAGGGATAACTGTAAATGATTGTTCTCATCATTCAGAAAGTAGCAGTCATGTACAGACAACAATAAAGTATGTTCTATCATGATCAATACAAGAGCCCCACGAAATGCTCCAAGACAACACATTGAAGAAATGAACCAATGTTAAGACAAAGCAAGTGCCAAATCTAAGTCTTTTAGGTTGGATGTATAGAGGGGAAGGGAGGGAATTTAAAAAATTTATAGTTTGTGAGTGAAGCCTCAGTCCGTCCTAGTTCAAATGCACTCAACATAACCAATAGTTTGGCATTTCAGGTTAACTACAATAGTCATCATAGGCTCTATTATGGTTCAATTTTTGTTCAAATTTACATAGATGAAATTAATGAAGTTAATAAACATACTACATGAAACAGAGAAAGGAGGAAAAATATATCTTTATCCAATAAAAAAACATTTTTTTTCTCAGATTAATACGATGTAAAGGAAAATTTCACAAAGAAATCCAAATCCATTATTATTATCCAAAATTTTAAGTTTGATATAACAAGTTCCTATAGGCATCAGATCTTCCTATTCAGATGAGTGTCATGACAACCCAAAAATGTATTGGGCATTCCTCTCCGAAGAGTACATCATTTGCCTCTTACAATCATTGACATACGATTAACATATAGAACACATCAAGAATGGAATTGAGGTACAAGAACAGACAACACATATGTTCAAGAAACTCATCTCCTCAATCTGACAACAACACGAATCGCATACAAGCATTAACTTAAATTCTAATTTTCCCTCAAATCTCAAAGGGCATAGAAGACTAAAGAACGAATTCATACACGCACACACATCTATATATATCAGTATAGAAAAACGTACCATCGGGCAAATAGAAATCTGAGGAAGGCCACCCCTGCATGCTAACCGTAGACAGGTTCTCCTCCTCCGTCGGCGCGTTAGCGAGCCTGTGCACGACGTCAGATACGCCGTACGAGCTAGGACGCGGCGGGACCCAGAACGAGCCCCCGGGGACGAAGGGAAGCCAATCAGGCCTGGATCTCTGGACAATTATGCTGTGGATGTAGTCCTCAATCCTCTCCACCACCCTCGCTTCCACGTCCGACGACGTGAGCTCCGGCCGCGAGGTACTTATCTTCGGAAGGGTGGAGAAGCACCGGATGGGCCGCGCCTTGACGGCTGAGAGGCGGCGCGAGGCCGGGGAGGCGGTGGAACGGATTAGGGTTCTACATAGGAAATTCGAGCTAGCCATTGGTTTAGATCTACGGATTTGGGGATAAGCAGTATGGATGGGTTATATAGAGGGAGAAGAGAGGAGTGGATTGATAATATTTCTTCAGCGAGGGATCCGTTTGTAATTTATGAGTTATTTGCTAGGGCTGACCTGGATGGGCTGCCGTAGCGAGACTCGGGGAATACTAGGCCCAATATGAATGTGTACGGGAAATGGGAATTTATTATGGGTTGGGCCAGAACTCACATTGAATGCCGCCATAATCCACATCCACACAAAGGCCCAGTCTAAGGCCGAAATGAATGGTTATTCAATCAATCAATCAACAAAAATGGCGTCAGAAGCTTATTTTCATCACCACCACCCACGAACACCGAAAAACACGTGCCTGTGAAGAAAAACAAACATGGCGATGAGAAGCTTTTTCCCCATACGCTACCTGAAGAACGGAATTCAGCGCGGCCTCGACAGCTACCACGCTAAGTACATCGAGACCAGCTCCGTTCAACCCCTCTATCACATCTGCTTCGGCGGGATGGCCTTCTCCTACCTCGTCGCCTTGCCGGAGGAGCTCCGCCACCTCGAGCACCAGAAGCAGAAAAACGGCGGCAACCACTGAACCGACAGCCGTTTCAGGTCCCTCAATTTTATCTCGTTCTGTTTTTTCCAATTTTGCCATTTGGCTCATTATTCCTTCCTTTCGCGTTTCTGTGTGGTGAATTTGCTTGGGTTCGTTGATTCTCAGAAATTCTGCAGGAATTGAGATTTATATGGAGCCTTTCGATTTTTTTGAGTCGATTTCATGTTGAGATTGTGCATTATGTTGTTTTATCACTGTGGATATTGATTTTCTCCCATGGAATTCGTCAAGAGTGGCAAATTGTGTTATTGTGTTTTTGGATTTCACTATCTTGTTTCATCTCGTGCTTTTCTTTTCGCATTTCGTGTCATGCAGTGTTGGGTTGTGCCCATTGTCTTTATAGTCGTGTTTTGTAATCATGTCTGTATTCGTGTTTCGTGTTGTGCTAGTCTTTGATACCCGTAGATTTTGAGACATTGAGAACAAGTTTACGTATGTATTCTAATCAAGCATCAAATCCACTATGTGTATCATCATCATCATCACCACCACCAGATTAGTTAGATAGCTGAAGAAAAACCCTGATAGGTCCAGTTTTAACTTACCTGTCGTAGTTTTGGATACAATTGTTTTACTTTTTAGTTGGGCCCTTGTCAATCTATGTGCAAACCAAACCAATGTGTTATTTAGAAACTGAGAATAGTACTTCATTTACTTTCACGTGCAATATTACATAATCGTTTTCTTTTCTCATCTGGCCAAATGACTTGCTGCAATCTATTTAGAGGCTTGTGCACCATGTCCACTTTCTTGAATTCTGGTTGGTATGGCACTTGGTCTTTGTTTCCTGGTTATTATTTTGAATTTGGTTCCTTAGTAGTTTGAATAGAACAAGAAGAGGGAGGATAGACAATAGTTAAAATTGTTCTCGATTATCTCCCTGGCTAAAGAAAACAACTTGAAATGCAATCATATATCATAAAGTTGTCTTGCCCCGTGTGGAGACTCGTGTGGCGTGTGTTTTTACTTGCTTGATTTACAAAGATTCTGATTTTTGTATCCAAAGCTGTGTGATCTTGGTTTGAGTTTTGCAGGCACGACATTTTCACGTTGCATTACTGAATCTTATGCACTGTACAAGTTTTTCCCAAGAGCGCAAAGAAACACTTTTCTGATGTGCATTTTTTACCTTTTTTAACTGCAGCTTGAACCAGCTATCCATGTCAGGGTGAGAAACTTATTGAACATACAATGCTAGGAATGAGCCGTATTACGTAAAATGAAGCCGTGCGACTCTTATGTAGTCTAAACATGTTTTTTGTAATTATTGGGCTTATACCTTTGGGGTTGAAATACATTCATTCCTTTCTTTTGAGCTTTTGTTTCTTTTGGCTGTTTAGAATCACTTTTATACCATGTTTGCTAATTACTACTACTCTTTTTTCTCCTCTGAGTTGGCTTTGTTTGTTCATGGACTCATTTGACTGGAACTGGATGAAAATTTCACTTGGGCTCACTTCTGTTAGTGAGAAGAAACTGAACTTAGAGAAAATAAAAGCCCAATGGAACTTTCGGTTTTAGGTTTCTTGGGCAAAAAAATAAAAATAGAAAAAAAAGATAATGGATTACATTGATGTGTAGTATTTTGAAGAAAAAAAAACTGAAAATTTAGTTAATTTTACCAGATAACAGTAATCACATTTTTGCTGTTAAGGTGGACAAAA